ATTTGCAGCATTTCTTTTTTGTTTGCAGCGTTTCATTTTTTGTTTGCTGGTGTTTTCTATTTTGGTTTGCATCGTTTCCATTTTTGTTTGCATCGTTTCTATTTTTGTTTGCATCGTTTCTTTTTTTGTTTGCAGCGTTTCTTTTTTGTTTGCAGCGTTTCTTTACTGTTTGCAGCATTTCTTTTTCTTTGCAGTGTGTCCCTTGTGGGCCATCGTAGATGATTCCTTGGCCTTACAATATTCACTAAGTAGGCCTACATTAACGTATGAATTCACAACAAATTTTACACCGAGAATACTTTTCGTCAATAATTCTATCCAATTTATCTTCGTCGAGAGATTTAAACTTAATTGAAGTCGCCATTTTCGAAGCGCTAGGCTTAATTCACAATTCGTGAGCGATCGATCGTGGGTTCGACTAGCATTCACTACGGGTGCAATGCGGGTGTAATCCGGTGACGTCAGAGACCGGTCACTTTTCAAAGTTTTATATTTCCCTAGGGGGAAATATAACGTTTCCGATCCTAGTAGCGCTAGTCACGTGATGCCATTTCGACCAATCACGTACTCGTATTTAAATAGGCTATGTAATATAATGCAATATTTTGATTATGCTTATATTATTATTATTATTATTATTATTATTATTATTATTATAAATAAATTATTATTACAGTATATTTTCTATTACAAATAATAAATATAATTATATAATATAATAACATTCTATGATAACCCATTAAAATATAATTATAAAAAGCATGATCATAATATTTATATTACCATTTATCAATAATAATAATTAAATTTGATATAGTTATGCTTAAAAATAATAAATAAGTTGTTAAGTACTCTTTATAAATAAGTTACTGTACGTGCACATTTTACTATGTGTTTTTTGGGTTTTTTTTAACGGCACACCGATCATATGTAAAAAGTAACATAAAACTGAGAATATAGTGGTGTAAAAGCAGTGCTTGGAGGTTTTTGGAAGGTCACTGGAAATATTAAAGGTTGGTCGCGGCCCTCAGTGTTAAATTAAAAATTCACTTTGGCCCTCCGACCGATTTTTATGCCCACCGCTGGCCTAGGGCTATTATATGGCTAGTCTAGTCGCAACCAAAGTTTTGGCGGCATTTGCCTTTCATAGCCATAAATAACTCTCGTAGTCGTTTGGTACACGTGAAAACCTCAACCAAGCCAAGGTTTGGCCTTGCGGTGGTGTTTTGCTTGTTTTATTGTAAAATTGTACCTCATTAGTACCATAGGATAGGCGGAGGCGTAGGCTAGGTTTAGTAAATAAAAACACTTTACTGTCTTTTCTCACCGATAGGCCTAAGTCAAATGATTAAGTGCTAGCCTAGGCTAAGCCTAAGCCTGCTTGTTTACTTTACCACCAGTGCCGCTGAGGTGAAGGCCTATGGGGGGGGGGGGCCTAGGTCGTGCACAGATACATGGTTGGAGCTGTTCTGCAAATTGTGCTAGCAAATCCAGTGCTATCTATGCAAATGAGGTAGGCCCATCAAGGTAGCCAAGCTGCCGCAGCATGTGTGAAGGAAGTTTGCGCAATGCCTTTGTTTTGAAATCTAATGTGTTCCCCGCCACCAAACTCAGGTTGAAAATGGAGAGCACCTTTTTCTCAACGCGCAATCAACAGTCAATCTCTATGGCTGGGCAATCATTTCCACCTTGAACTTGAAGCTAATACATTTATCTTTCTTCAAGAAATACCAAACATATTAGTGAGCTTTCGAAATGGGCGACGCAGGGAGCTGTGACGGGGAATTCAGTCAACCATGAACGTCGTACTATGCACTTCCCGTCTCAACATCAAAGCTGTTTTGATTTACAGGACGACACGCTCCCTCGTATCGCGTGATCAGTTATGCAGGCGCCCCCCCAGTGAGCGTGTATTTATAAAACTCGTATTGCCGTAGTCAACACAACGCCAAATCACTTGAAGCCCTTTGTCAAATCCACACAATGACTTCCCCATGTATTTGCATGTGCAGTACGGTTTCACGCTCCACTGCCTGTCGTAGAACGCAGTGTCGTCCAAATCGAAAGCTGATTAATATTGGCCATATTCGAAAGGTCGTTCTTCGATAAAACACGCCCAATTGCGCAGTGGTAAAATCCTACATAACGAAGGCGACCAGTCGAATAGAAATCTGGTAAATACTCGAAAAATCAAAATGGCTGCATAGTTACCGCGATACACGCTGCGTAATCAAGGTTGCTTTGGATTGTGGCAGTATGGGGCACAGTTTGAAAGTTTTCAATTTGCAAACTGTTGAGGGATAGCTTGTGCACATATGCCTATGTATGTGTACATTTTGGTGGATAGGACCTTGTGTCACTACACTCCTCACGACACTAACACTGACTTTTCAAGTTCGTAAAATGCAATTTAGTAATAATTTGCCTTGAGTGCCAGATGGGTTGCTCAAAATTGCAGGTAGGCCTTAATAAGCTGTGGAATTTCAAACCAACTGGGCAGGATTTATAGCACTTCACTTTAAATTCAAGCATCTTAATCACCAAGCAATAACTCCGGCCTACTTAATTGTATAATTAATTATAAATTGTTTTTAATTCTTGTTAAACATTTCTCTCTTATTTTAATAGAGAAATATAGGCCTAGTTAAGTTATACCTGCTAACTTTGCTGGCATCCAATGAACGGAGACAAAAATCAAAATTTAATTTGTATATAGCGCCCTTTATGTAGAAATCATGAAATAGAGCACCCTCTATGTTTTTTTTTAAAATTGTGATCAAACTGCTACTGATTACAGTCGTCTGTCGGTAAAGCTTCGTTAAAATAAATTTATATGGCCTGTATTCACATCCTTTTTAATTGTAGGGTATAATTGGGCTATCTTTTATTCAATTTTTATGATTCGCGAGATAATACAATGTAGGCGTAGATGTAAATAGTCGATGTTTATGCATGAGACTTGCGCATTATGCGTGAGAGTTGGCAGGTGTATAATGGGGCTCGAAGACAGACTCACGACCCAAGACCCACTTAAATTTTACAATCCACATCAACAATATCCGATTCAAAGCTCAACTAGCAAAATACTTTATTACAAATTACTGATTTGTTATTTTTTTTTTTTTCAGATTTTTATTTTTTTTTGTTTCTAACAATTGAGAATTTCTATTATACTAATTGAATTAACTGTGGGAAAGTCATGATTGTAGTCTTTAAATCCATTATTGTTGTCATTATGCCTACAATACATCACATGTCAAATTAGAGGTAAAATGTTTAAAACTGCAGTTTATGTTTTTCATTTCAATTCGATGTATTCATTGATTCATAATAAGACATTATGTTTTGTCGATTTTTATGTAATTTCATTGATATTTTAGAAATTTGTCACCTACAGTAATTTTTTTTTCTATACTAGGTGATGTGCATAATTAATATGTATTTTTTTTCTCTTAAATGTAGATGACTTCAACATGCCTGATGAATTGCCATTTTATTGGCTCAATTTATAAAGCATCGAAAACTTACTTGACAACCTGCATAAGGAGGTGTTCTAGGCTATCTACCAATGGAAACCCTTCAATGATCACAATACAAGGGCAAACATTTCAGCCTGATGAAATGACAACACTTACACCAAACATTATTGAAAAAGTTGGGTGCAATCTGCACAACCAGCAAAATCACCCTCTGTGCTTAATTAAACAGTGCATTACAAATTTTTTTTACAAGCAATTCACACGTCTAGGAAATCCATTGTTTTCTGTGTATGACAATATCAGTCCAATAGTTACAGTTAGTGCAAACTTTGATAGTGTTCTCACTCCTCCGGATCATGTTAGTCGAAGAAAGGGTGATAATTTTTACATCAACAAAGATTATATGCTAAGGGCGCATACTTCAGCTCACCAGTCAGAATTGATTAAATCTGGATTAGATGCATTTCTGGTTATTGGTGATGTTTACCGACGAGATCACATTGATGCGAGCCATTATCCTGTCTTTCATCAGATGGAAGGAGTTCAGTTATATTCAAATTTCCAGGTGATTATTGAATAATCATTAAAAAAAGTTATTATTTTTATTCTTAAAAAAACTGAAACAAATTATAAAGCATTTTATACAGTATCAATGGCTGATATTGGCTTGTTACTGGTATAATTTTTTTTTAGTAATTTCTTAGAATAGCAATTCTGATGTGTGTAGGGAGTGAATCAGATTTATGGTTGCATACTTATAGCTGTACTTAAAATGTTGAAACAATAATCATTCCAATTAAAAAACTGACATAAAGTAATTCACTTTTAATAGGGATTTCTGATTTGCTTACACTAAATTGAAAATAAAAATCAATGCTCAAAATAAATCCTATAGTATAGGCTAGTTATTTGTTACTGCTACAGTAGCATTGTTGGCCAACTACATACATTACATATTATTGCTTCATTTTGCATGCCTGATACTAATTTTTCCAGTTATTTGGTGAGAAATCCAATAAAACGTCGCTCTTTGAAGATGGTGAAAGAACAGTGGAGAAGCAGCAATTTCACACAATGATTGCAGCCAAGAGTCTGGAACACCAACTGAAAACTACATTAGAAGGCTGCATACAAGAACTGTTTGGATCAGGTATTGAAATACATGAAAAGCCAGAGTGACTTGTCTTAAATTGTCTTAAATTAAAAGTTAATAATTATTATTGGTGATCCGCTACACTAGCGGATCACCTATTGTTATTGTACAGAATCATCATCTTTTTTTTATTCTTCTTTCTCCCCTTTTCTGTTCGCACGATATCTCAAAAAATGCCACGAGTTACGCAAAATCGCTGTCAGCGAACATTTGGCTTGATCTGGAATAGTCATGGTAAGCTTTTCAACGTGCTCAGTCATGCGTGACGTCATCTACGCGCAATTTTGCGTTTTTACA